CCACATGGGTTGGTCAAACCGTTTTAGAGTGTTGAGCCCTAAGGCTTGCGGCACCTTATCAGTACTCTATGGCAGTGTTCCGCAACCTTTTTCTACTCGCGGCACACCATGAAGTATCCATGACTCAACATGCCACACCAAAATGTTATTCCTCTCAAAAACGCATGATATCAGACAATATAAATACATAACGTGATAAACTTATTATAATATTGTAACGTGTTTACGTTACTGATGACGCCGTAGAGATGGTTAATTGGTTTATTCAACAATCTACAAGTAACGGCTACAATTAATTATCACAAGGTTACGGGTTTCCACAGTTTACAAACCCTACAACAAAATCTCTTCACACTATCTTGAAGAGTCTTCACGTCTTAATAACGCGGGAGCTATACAAGTCTCCCTGAATTACACACTTTCACTCGTAACACGCCGCTGGCTAGATTCCAACTCTGCTCGCAAGATGCTGCCTTGAGAACTGTTGATAACACACTCGCTCGTAGGCTTGCTCGGAACTATCTTCGCAGATGGCCACGTACAACTCTACTTGGCGACTGTTACTTTACAACTCGGCGACTGCCCACATTACAACTGACTGGTAGCTGCTGTGCAGTTCCCTTATATATCTGCAGTGGTGCCTGTTGCATGCCACGTCACAGTAGGAAGCGGTTCCGCGTCACCGCGCGTTGCACGTTGCATAGCTACCAGGATGCAGGGACTCGGCTAACTTTGGCTCCGCTCGTGACGTCACCGCGGGGAGAGTAGCGGGGTGATGACTCGCCTATTACACGAGCGCTACGTTACTGCTACGTGCCGCTGGGGAGGTAGGGGTCAACATGTCACAATATTATTATCATTAAACAGAAATCGACTTGTGCGTTTATTAACAATTAATGAACTTTACTTCACTGTAGAGTGTAGAAAATACACTTCTATTACTTTTAAAGTAAATACAGTAATTCTACTCATACCTTCAATGTGATACTTTCGCCTGCGTAGCTGCACACAGGTGACTGATCCGTGGGAATTTATCCATCTTGAAAAAGTAAAGTAGTCTAATAGTAATAGAAAATAGCAAGACCAACTAGCATCCACAATTTTTTAAGAACTTCAGAGCACAGGTGTGACAGAACTGAAACAATTGTAAGATGCATGACCTCTATTCTTCAAACGGAAGAAGTGACACATATACCTACGTATTTTTTAAATATTTATAATTTTAAATGCAGTCTGAAAATCAGTGGGCGCATCGTTATAGGCAGAAAGTTATAAAGTTGAAGAAGCTCTAACTTCTAACAATCAGGGGCAAACACCAAAACAGCGTTATAAAAGACAGGGCAACTCTTGATAATCCCTGCAGTTTTAGGGAAAAACACATGCACAGAACATGCGGCAAGTATATCAAAGAAGCCACGTAGATGCGAGAAAAATAAAAAATCAGCAATAAAATCTATGATATAACAACAACTGTGAGTAAAAATTTACATTTATTTTCTTAGAATACAACATTAATGTACATAAAAAATCACGGCATGTACAAGGCTCGTCCACAAAGTAAGTTTCCCTGGGGCCGTTTACAGAAACAAAACACAGTTTCATGGAAATATTTATTGCAACAGATACAGCAAGTGTTCGGCTATTTTTCAACATAATCGCCACCGAAATTGAGACATTTGTCATACTGTGGGACCAACTTTTGAATACCTGTGTCATAGAAGTCTGCCGCCTGGGATTGGAACCACTGTGTGACAACCATCTCCACCTCTCTGTCATTCTCAAAACGCTGACACTCACTGGACAGGAATTTCTTGAGGTGTAGGAAAAGATGGAAATGACTGGGAGCGAGGTCCGGGCTGTAGGGAGGATGATTAAACACCTCCCAGCTGAACTCCTACAGGAGACTTGCTGTCCGTCTAGCCGTATGCGGCCTAGCGTTATCGTGCAGGAAGACAATATCCCGCGCTATTTGTTCTGAATGGCCCGTCACAATTTCTGCAGTGTTTCACAGTAACGCTCAGCATTCACCGTCTCACCTCTGGTCAGGAAGTCTACGTGGAGAACGCCCCGTCTGTCCCAGAATACCGTGCACGTCACTTTCCGCGCCGACGTCTGCTTGAATTTCGTCTTACAGGGAGATCCACTGTGACGCCAATGCATTGATTGCTGCTTGGTTTCTGGGGTGGTGTGTGCAATCCACGTTTCATCACCTGTGATGATCCGGTCCAGAAACTCGTCACCGTCATCATGGTACCGCTGCAGAAAGGTCAATGCTGACTCCATGCGCTTTGTTTTGTGTTCTGGTGTCAGTTGCTTCAGCACCCACCTGGCGCACAATTTCCTGAACAACAGATGCTCTGTGACAATTTCGTGCAACAAGGAGCGGGAAATCTGCAGGACATGACTGCTGAGTTCTGTAATTGTGATGTGACGATTCTTCATAATGCATTCCCGCACAAGCTCCACCAGGTCATCTGTAATGATGGATGGCCGCACACTGCGCTTCTTATCTTGCACACTTTGTAGACCTGCTGAAAATTGTCTGCACCAGCGACGCACCATCTGCTTGCTCATGACATTAGGCCCATAGACCCGGCACAGGTGACGATGAATTTCGATCGGCGCTATGCTTTGTGCATTGAAAAACTTTATCACTGACCGCACTTCACAGTCGGCGGGAGTTGGAATAAGAGCCTCCATCTTCAACAGCTGCAACAATGCTACTGTGGGAACGCGGGAAATTCCGTTTGTGCATGCGCCATGCTACATCATTGCTCTATCACGTACGTGCAGTTGCTTCACGCAATATAAAGTTTGCTAGCTGTGGGATGAGTGGGAAACTTACTTTGTGGACGTGCTACGTAATAAAGAATAAACAAGCATCATCTTCTTTAATCAGTGCAGTGTGTGAGAATAAAATACAAGCATATGAAACATGGTAACTGGGATAAAATAAAACGAATAAAATTTGACAATTAATTTCTTACAACAAGTAAAAGTTCACGTCACACCTTTCACCTTGTGACGGCACACCAGTTGCAGAACACTGCTCTAGGGAGACAACTCAAATAGCCGAAGCTAACCCAACGGAGTGCTCTCCAGCATTCGTCCCGCGTACACCGTAGTGACACCCAAGAGTCATTATGCTGCTGCGTGGGAGGCTCTGGTAATATAGCCATTGCCCTATATGGGAACTCAGCCACCAGCTCCGGAAGGTCATACTGATCCAGACCCCCCCAAGACTGTCGTTGCCCGGCAGGACCACAAGGAGGTGTTCCAAAGCTGTGTCCCAACACATCGCTGATCTGTGATATGTCCCCACCAAAGACGCAGCTGTGGCTCGGCCAGCCTCACCGAGGATAGTGTCATTACCACCCCGCCACTTCCACACTGAAAACGTATTGCTTTTGGGAAAACGACATGTCTGTCACGCAATAAGCGAAGCTATACTGCAGACGTCGTATGACCGATACACGACAGATGGCATTTCTACTCGTTAGTACTCCTACAGTACCATCTAGCAATAGGAGCTATAATTATATTAACTGCAGTACAATTTATAACAACTTTTAGTTTGATGTGCGTCACTTTTTGATCTCTCTGTATAATACTCTTAGTACTGTCTGCCTGCTCATAATCATTATTCACCAATGAATCACTCAACAATTTAATAACCAACAGTTTTTGGTGGCATTATCTGAATCTAACCAACTTTCTCCCAAATCACTTATGCTCTGTATATAGACTTCCAGCCAGTTTCTACCCTTACAGCATATCTGATTTCTTCCTGCCACAAATGGCTGCCATGGCCTTCACCTGACTAAGTACGTTGTGTATTAGGTCTCAAGACTTACTGTTTCTAGGAATTAATAAATAACCACAGGCTAGGCCAGAATAACAGGTGTTGAGTCATTTTGATGGCAGCACAGAACGGAACCATGTGACACATAATATTACAAAATCTCAATTCTATACATCAGCCATTTATGAATATGAGAAGGATTAATCATAGTTCTGAGAAATGTTCTTTGGTTCAATTCTGACTGTACACTGTGTTAGCAGAACTGAAGGTTTGATGCTGCTAATGGCAGAGTCCTTCATTGGACATGAACCTCAGCCAGTTTAATCATCCACAACCAATTGTCTCCCAAGATTCATAATGTTATCCCCCACCCTCTTTTTTTTTTGGTCTTTCAACTGGGTGTTTTCAAAGCAGTTTCCACGTGAAGTCTGGAACAGATATTTGCTTTCCTCATCCTAATCACATGCCCAGCCTTTTGCAGGATCTTAGATTTTCACCATCCTCACAGTACCAGGTGATCTGTATAAATCACAGAGTTTCTGTTTACATAACATCTTAAATTGCTTGCTTACTTCATATGATTTGGCCAAAATATTTTCATGAGCATTTAGTTTTCAGACAGTAATGTTTTTTTCCCAGAGCAAGAGCACTTGTTCCACATCCATACAAAATAATTGCCTATGATTCCATTCAATTGCAATAAATCTGTGAAATAGAAGTACCAGTCAGTCAAATACTGAAGTGCTAGGCAGCAGGACAGAAAACTTTACCAGTGAAAAAAATGGTTGGATGCTTAACTTTCCTACCACCATTAATATACATAAGTATGAAGAATGGTGTATGATATTCAGATTTTAATCATCACTATGAACCAAGCGCACACAGAATATCTTAAAAATTGGTCATGTAAAGCATACCCAAAGTTAATGGCATTACCAGTATGCTTAGTATGTAAGACTTATATACATGGGGGGGGGGCTGCCATACTGAGCATTTGATATACAACGTGTTTATTTTATAAGCAGAGATATGCTGTCTGTATGGGCCTTTGTTTAGATGTTCTCAAACAGTATTAAATTAAACTGTCTGTTTCAAGGCAGTAGATTTTTATCCTGAGTAAATGATAAAACACTTCCTAACGTCACCCTGAAGTTTGCATTTGCCTGCTTCAGTTTTGTTATTTACATTATTTTTCCAGCTCAACATTCTCCTTCTTCTGAAGATTCTAGTGGTGGAAATTTTGGTCCAGATGCAGCAGCAACAGCAGCAGCAGCAAATAGAATTCATCTGAGTCCAGGTCCGCACTTTTCCACTCTCAAGCTTAGCTCCTCCTGTCCTAGCACTCCTCACACTGCCAGCACCAGTACTGGCAAGCTGTTTGCAACCTGCCTGGTCTGTGGGAAACAACTCAGCAACCAGTACAATCTGCGTGTGCACATGGAGACGCATCAGAATGTCAACTATGCTTGTGGTGTATGCAGCCACATCTCTCGTTCACGTGATGCACTTCGCAAGCATGTTTCATACAGACACCCTGGTGAAGGGAAAGATAAGGCTACATTGGCAGGACCTAGGGAACGTAGATGTGGGCTGGAGGGGAGGAACCGGTCTCTCCTGGGTTCTGGCACAAATGGAGTGGAAATAAAGACCCAAGTTCCATTCAGAATAGGCAGTAATGGTGTGGGAACGCAGGCTTCAGAAGGAATAGATAGAGCAGGCAGCATTGGAGTAGGAGGATTTATAGGGAAAGGGATAGATAGATTGGGTGAAGAAATGGCTAGCAGGAAAATTAAAGTAATTTCCAATAATGATAATAAGCACCCTTGATGGGGCGTTTCATTCTTGTCTGTAGATAAAAATCACATCCATTTAACATTGTTTGGAATTATAGTTTAATTACAGAAGTATCATAATTTGATGCACGTGGAGAGTTACAGTGGAAAGCTAGCTAGTACCTGACTTTCTGATTACCGTCTCTGTTCATGATGACATAAATGTGTCCTAACCACCAGTATGTATCAACCTCCCATAAATTTCATGTACAGTTTTGTTTCTGAATTACACATTTATGTCGTCATGCATAGAGACTGTAATCAGAAAGTCAGGGCATTGGGGTTTAGCTTTCAGATAATTGAGAGCATGCTTCTTTTTTGTGTTCATGTGATAAATTAATACAGACACACTAAATATGTATATATTTTTTTCCTGCTGAATAATGTAAAATATTTTTTACCATCAACATGTCTTTCAAATCAGCCAAGTGTGCCTTGAAGGATGCACTTCAACTTATATTCTAAACAGGGTTCTTAACTAGTATGGCATATAGATGTAGCAACAACTAAGATCGAACTGCAAAGAAGTCAGCTTATATATATTTATTACTGTTATTTAATTAACTCTTACATGTCCTTGCAGATGCAGATATCTATATATATTTATTACAGCACAAATTGTCACATTGACCTATTTACATTTTATCTATAATCTGTATACATATTTATTATAGTGACTCCAATAGTTACGAAGCTCTATCCAGAGCTATTCAAGGCCAGTATACCACTATGGAATCAAATAATATAATTTGATGACAGTCCATCTCATATAGTTCTTAAACTCTCATGATCCAGACACGTTTTCTTTATTTTTCTTCATCGGTTCATTTTACTGGATGGTTATGAAAAGAAGGCTGTACATGTGAATGTTTAATTAAAGCCAGCTGGTTTACAACTTTCTTTCTACCAAGGACCAGCTGAGTTTTGCATTGAGATGAATGGGATGCATAAGACAATTGAATTGCATTTGTGTACAAATGTCTAATGTGTGATTATTGAGGCCTTCTGTCTACATCAGCTGGCTTTAACCTGTTTTATGAATTTTGAGATTTTGCTAGGAGTGTTTTATAATTTTTGTTTGTGTGTTTGACAAGTTTTTTTTAAGTCCTTGATCAACACTAGAAACAGAAAGATGCCATAGAACATCTGTGTATTGTTGAAATAATGGGTTTCTCAAAAAATGTTAAGTACAAATTTTAAAGGAATGTTGAGATCCAGCTATACAGAAGTGACTATGATTATCACACTATGTAGATGAATTACATTATTTCTGGGGAACAAGGTATGCTTCAGCACTTTTTTCTGTCTTATGTAGCAAATGTTTTCATATTTTGGGGTTCTTCATATTGTAGGCTGTCTCTTAACATATTGAAACAGATGATATTGCCAAAGATTTTAATAGCTAACAGTCTTTTACTCAGTTATACTGTCTATTATACTGAGATACCTTAATTTTATTTTATATGTGGCCAGTGACTGAACCACACAAAACTTGTTCTTCATCTCCATCTCATACACAATAACTGTTCTTGTAATGGGGAAATTGATTTTAAGTTCCCTTTGTTGATTGTTTTTGTTTTGTTTTATTTTGTTAAGTATTGTACACATGTTTCTAGTTAATTTACAGTACCTTAAAGAGTTGTGAATTTGCTGTGATTAATGTTGTTTGCAGGTATTTTTACTTCAAGCTATGGTGGTTTGTTTTAATAGGTTGGTTTGTTAAACTTTGCATGATAAAATTATGAATGGACCCAAGTGTGAGACGTTTGAATGTTTAAATACCTGTTGTATAATTAATGTTTTTAAGCAGAAAAGAATGTTACAGATATAAACTGCTGGAAAATTAGTATCCCACCATTAACATGGTATACCACTTATGTACTGAATGTGAAAATAGAAATGAAATTATGCTTGGGAACATTTAGACCTTGAGATTTGGTTTCAGACGTCACACACTTGTAAAGTTAATATACATCCCAGAGTGGGATTAAATGGTAGGTTATGGTTATTATGATTAAGTTGGTATTAAAAGAGAATGCACATGGAGGGTTGTAGGATTAAGCCACATAAAATGAAGAATGATCAAGTTAGAACGAATGGAACTGTGCTACCCTGCCACAGCTGTCAGGTCCCATGAAGTCTACCGCATATAGCTGTTTTTGACATGGCTAGGGGGAAGGGTATTTGCACACAGAACTATGATTTTCAGAATGTTTTTCATGGGAAAATTTTGTGTAATGTTTGGGTTTTTGTACTTAGTGTACCTGTTTTAATGTTGTTTTCTTTGGTCCTGTTGGCACTTAAGTGCACATTGCTATTTTTCATGTAGTCTGTTGCTAGTCAGCCAGTTCTGGCAGAATATTTTAAATATTTCCATAACACAATCAGATTCCATCCATGTAAAGCACATATTTAATGTTGTGCCTTAAATCTTTTACATGTGTATCACACTAAGTTTAAAAGTTTTAGTACATGAAATAGTTGAGCTTCACACACACACACACACACACAGATATATATATATATATATATGTAAAATAGGAACAAGTATACCAACATGCAATTTCCATTTGAATTTCTTACCATACATTACCAAAGATGTTGCCACGGTCTGTTATCATCAGAGGCCATAGGTATAACTATATAGGATGATACCTTACCAAAGAACATCAGTAAGTGAGCTGTTTTTAAGGATTTTAAAACTGCCATTTATGCAGTTGTGAAATTAAAGAAGAATGGCTTCCAAATGCAACTTTCATTACAAGTTCGCATATGCAAAACAAGAAAATGTGATTAACCTGACAAGTGTGATAGCCCTGATTAGGCAGCACATCACATCTTCATCTTTAAGTTGGGGTGGAGGGGATCCTCATCTCTGACCTGGCACTTGACTGGTCACAGAATAAGGCAGTTAAGTTTTATTATAATATGTGATTAAACCATTTGTTCTGAGAATGGCAATTGTGTGTGCCTTTAAGAAAGCTCAATGATAAGTAAAGAAAGAATGGAAATATGTAAAAATGAAACGTGAGTGGTTTTATTTCTCATTGTCATACCTTCATATTCACAAGAATCAGTGTATGATTTCACAATACGGGTATATTTACTTGGCTTTAGGTTAAGTATGCTAAATGATGCTGCTTTGGTTCAGATTGTGACTTAGTAACTTCAGATTGATGTAATAAATTTGGTGGCTTTCTTGCCATGATATGGGGTTCAGTGTGAAACTTTCAAAGAGACAAAGCAGCACAACATATATCTGATCCATTTGAACACACATTTGGGTTTACAGGCTGACCTGGGAGGTTGCAAAGTTTGTTCAGAACAGGACCCAAAACTGCCAGTACCTGCATTTTACAAGGTGCTCTGCGGCTCAGAAACTGACATGATTGACTTCATGTCAAAAGTTTACTGTACTTCATGCCTGACTTTTGTCTACCCATGTTGTAATCATCCCAGTTTCACACTTTCCACAAATGGGATTATGTCTGTTTAATACACTATAGCCATACACTGAACCAAAGTATACTTTCTGCAAAATTATATTTTGAACTCTGTATTCCTGTGGATGTGAATAGTACTTCCTTCTGAACCACCTCATTACAGAAGTAAGATATCCTTATTCTGTTTACTCCAATAATGACAGTAAGAATCAATGTTCATAGTTGAAATTGCTACTAATCTGCATTCAGAAGGGTTTTTAATATTATTATTGTTTTTTTTTGTATGTTTTTCCCTAAGAATTTCTCGTTTATGTTGCTTCCATTTAAAAACTACATTTTTTTAAACAAGTGCATACAAGATATTGAAAGAGGACACTTGGGAGACAGAGGTGAGAGGTAATATTAAATTCACCTTATGAAAACAGGTTGTATGCAAAGTGGATTGCATTTGATTCAGGAGAGGATTAAATTGGCTTTTGTAGAGACAGTAATGAACCCTCATATTCCATAATTTGAACAACTGAACAGCTATTGACAGCTTAGGAAAGACTGTACCAGGGAATTAGTTGTACCATGTTGTACTGGAAATTTGTTTCTAATCATATAGTTTAAATACTTTAGCATTTTAGGATGTTTTGGGTAGTGAGGGTACAACTATTATAGTGGAAATAAATTTCAGTTAAAGTCCAATGTGATTGGTGAAATATTTAGCTCTACACCAAAGAACAAGCATAACAAAAAAATAAGTAAATAAATTTTAAATTTAAATTGACGAGTGTATATTAACAGAGATTTTGAACATAACTGACAAAATCAGCAAGGGGATTCAGGTATATCAGGACCGATTGAAACGCAGCAATGACAATTGAGAAAGCTGGTGTTTTTAAATTTTAAATTACGTGCAGTATAACAGCTACGTAAATGAAATACACCTGATGATGGCCAGTTACGGCTGAAACACGTAGTGTGTAAGAAGAAAAACAAAGAACTATAATAAATTGTTGCATTTATGATGGTATTTATATTATACATATAGAAGTGTAGAGTGCAACAGGATGCTTAAATATAACATTGTAATACTGGTTTTGGTATGAGATAAAAACATAAAAGTACTTCATAATGTCATGTTACTTAGTGACCCGTAAATTGAAGTATTTGCATTATTACTTTTTGGGATCCACTATTTTTGTTTTAGTACTGTTTAAATCAAGCTCTTTACTTGCCAAGGGATGAAGTAGTGCCAGTTTAGTGAACTAGTTTTATGGACGTTGGTGTCAATTTTTATTAGGCAAATTTCTTGCAGACTCTTGAGTGGTTTTAGAATGAGTTTCAGAATGAAGATGGTGTATTTCAGTGGCCTACACCTTCATTTTTATGATTTTTCACACCTTATTAACTGTGATCAATTTGTGGATCTAGTGTTGCAAGTCTGATCACACTGCATGCAGTCAGAAATGACTTTTCCTTGTATTTTGTTACGTGTAATATCTAAAAATGTTTTGAATGGAAGTTATAAATCATAATCAGAGTTATATTTTATTGTATATACCAGTTTTTGCAACAGTGGGCTGTTTTTGCATAGCTTGATTTTTACTTCATGTAAATTTGAAGTTATATGGACTGGTATATATAAAATTAAATTTTCTTGAGAACTTTCAGGGTATACTTCCTGCATATACCACACAGCAAAATCAGTGATGTACTTTAGGACATGAAACATGCACATTGCTGGAGGGACACAGCTTCCACTTTATATGTTCAATTTATGGACTCCTGCAATTCATTTCAGTCATAAATGTAAAACTGAATGGCTTGGCATAGAGGCAGTGCTCTTGAGTCATATTCAGAAGGTTATCAGTTTTAATCTTGGTCAGGATGCAAGATGTCCTGACTGAGGTTTTTCGTTGTTTTATTCAGTACCATGAATAGGTCACACAGCTGCTTGCTTCCAAATCCTTTCCATTTCATGTGTCATCCTACTGCCTGAGGCCATATAGCCAAGACAGTGTTATAAAATAACCTAAAAAAATTTAAAACTGTCACTGGGTCTTGCAGACATTTGAATGCAGCCAGTCTGTTAGTAGTGTCAAGCATTCACAGTATGCTGCATGTAGAAGAGTGAGTCAGTCTTACGCTGTAAAGCTGACAATTCATTCTCTAGTTTATTGTAATGTTATGCATATTATAATGTGCACTGTATGGGAAATAAATACCACTAGACAATTGTTATGTAGCTTTGATAAATACTTGTTCGGTACATTATCAGACATCGATTAAATTGAAGATTTGGTCCTGTCGTGCTGTCTGAAGATGACAAAGAAAAGAACTACGAAACAAAAACTGTACAGTCTTTGCCTTCGTAATTTCTTACATCTGTTACTATGGCAAGAAGCCAGACCTTGAAAATTGAAACATCAATCGTAAAATAGGCCAATATTATTATTTTCTTATGCTTTTCTCCTCATGTTTTTAATCCTTGCTCTTCTTCTGGTAAATTATGCTGCCTTTATCTTGACTTCTTGATACATTGTGGTCAATACATATTCAGCTGTTTGAAAAATTTCCATGTTATTGAATCTAAATGTTTGTTACTGACACCACAAAAGCTTGCCAGTGGATCCTACCCTGACTTAGCTCATCTGTACAACCTCTTTCTCTATGCTTAATTTTAATATTATCCCCATCTTTGCTCATGTCCCAAGTGAATTTTTCCATGATATTTATTAATCCAAATTTGT